TAGAAATAGAATGTCCATGTATAATCAAAAGGAAGCCCAACAGGGACGGGGGCCTCCTGACAAGGAAGGGGCTGGCTGGCCAGATCCCATTCCTCAGGCCATCCTTTAAGTTAAGTATTTGACTATTCCCTTTCTCTGGGCTATAGCTCTTGGAAGGAATTCCTTTTTTTGTACAGTGTAAATCTTTTTTTTTTCTTTATAAACTTTATAATAGAAAAATTATATCATTTTGATAACTGATAAATGAGGCTTTAGCATTTCGATCAATCCATTGTAGTGTTTACTTTGTGTTGCCACTGTTCCGTATTCTGGAAAAATAAATTCAGGTATATTTTTCACATGTTTTCTCGGAGTGGAGCAGTTGTTCCATATACAGTATCCCACAGCTGATTTGTTCGTGTTCACCTTTTAACATCATTTGCAAACTTCCTTCCAACAAACACGTGCTGCACACAAGGCAACGTGCTAGGTGCTTCGGGCAGTAAAAAGGGACCAATAAAGTATTGAGAGAAATAATGAGGTAGAACAGAGATGGACCACAAAATGGCAGAGAGAAACTTTTACTGAAATTCAGTTGCAAGAGGGATTAGGGACTCATGGAAAAAATAGGTAGGGCTTTCGAAAACCGGGCAGGGTTTGCGCTGGTGGAGAGGTGTGGGAAAGGCATTCCTGAGGCAAGGAGTACCACTGCATGAAACTATAAAGATCTAGCAAAAATGGCAGTGGGGGTATGGGGGGGGGGGAATTGAGTAATACAGTTTGAAGTGAAGTTCCTGAAGAATGTAGGTAGGAATTGATTTCTTTATTATTTAAAATGTTTATTGATTTTAGATTGACAGGGAGGGAAAGAAACTTTGGTTGCAATTGGTTGCTGCCCAACTGGGGACTGACCCCTCAACCGATGTATGTGCCCTGACTGGCAACTGAACCCACAACCTTTTGGTGTGCAAGACAACTCTCCAACCAACTGAGCCACCCAGCTAGGGCTGTAGCTTGGAATTTAGATTATGGGGACTTTAAATGCCAAAGTGAATCTGGACTTAACTTTGTAGGCAATGGGGAGGCACTGAGGTCTTTGCTGCAGCTGAGGGATGAATTGAGCATGCCTCGGGGATATTAAGCAAGTGGTGGCTGGGGAGAGAGCAGCCCAGGGAGCTGCGGAGGCTCCCTGAGCGGCCACCACGGTACCATAAAGGAGAATTGAAGGGATGAGAAGAACCTACCTATGCATGACCTGCGGACACCACAACCTGCCAACTGTTGGCTCACACTAGAAACCAGTATTTGGGCTGTTTCCCCCTATTTTGCTTTCCTGTTCATCAGAAAGAATAAGCTCCCAGACCAGTCCACACAAATTATGTTATCTAAGGAATGCTGCTTTCTGCTTCTCTTAGACGACTTTCCCAACGCTGTGGAGATACAACCCATACACCTGGCTGCTGCCCAACAGTCGCTGGCAGCCCAGATCCGAGAATAAATCTGCTGATGCAATGCTTGTTGTTGCATCTGCTGACAGTTTCTTGGAGACGAAAAATGCGGTTGTAGGTCCCTCTCAGATGTTGTAAGTCTGCTCCATTAAAGAGGTTTTATAGAAGAAAAGGAGTTTCAACACTTGAAAGAAAGACACTCTAAGGCCCAAGAGCTGGATTCAGTGGCAGGTGTGGGTGGAGGGACCCACTTCCCTTGAATGCTGAAGTCCCAGGAGTAGTTAAATAAACGCTGTTCACAGAAACTAAGTCACAGATTTCTTGACTTCTGACTGCTTACACGTTTCCCTGCGCAAGAGGCAGATTTTATTTTAGATAGATGTGTCTTCCATTCAGCCATTTCAGAAAAACAGGGCTAGGGGACACCAGTAAACAAGACTCCTAGCTCCTGAATCTCCCGGCAGGAATCCCGCTGGTTTCATCCCCTCCCCTTGTGTGAGGAGCTTTTCTTCAGAGTCGGGTTAATGAAATGAAACGAGGCAGTCAGGCCTCCTGGGATAGAAATGCAGAGTTAACATTCCTCTGAGTGAAGTCCTGGAAACAAACCGCGCACTGGATAAAGACAATTGCTCAGAAGAGGCCACCAACTGAGTTCCAGGGCAAATTTCCCACCTTGCAAGACAGACTCCTTTAAATTCTACTGAAATACACTCAAAGAGCAGCACATCATTAACCGGGGTGGGTTAGGAAATTCAGGATAAAATGTCTGGAACTAGTCTGGGGAAGGAAATGGACCCAAGGCAAAATCAAATAGGATTGTCATGTAATATTCCCCTTACTATCTCCAGCCAGTTAACAAAAGAAATAGATGCTAATAGACTGGAAGAACAAGACAGATTCTCAGGTAACTGAGTAACAAAATGGGTAAACGCTTGGTTCCATGTTTACCTAGAAAGCCAGAGACTCACACAATCTCCAGTATTTGGGATCCTATAAAAAAAATCCTTGGGAAATTTTTAGTTTCATATTCAATTACCATTTTAAAATTCTAACGAGAAATTAATCTCACTGCTGACACTGAGTCACCACCTGCTGGTCAAAAAGCAAAGTACAAGTATAAAATATACCTGGTCACACCCCAAAGCTGGGAAAAGAGCCAGGCCTGGGGAAGAGATACTAATGACTAAGATAGCTAGAATGGAAATTAAACACTGTGCTAAGTGCACGGGAAGAAGTATTAAAATCTCTGTATGGCCATAAGGGACTTACCGAAGGAAATGAGGACAGCTATGGGATAACCACCAGCGTCTACCCTTGATCAAAACTCTCAATGTCTCTCTTACCTTCCAAGGAATCTCTATGGCAAGTTAAATAAGATGTTTAGGGCTTGAAGCCCTGCTTCACGTCAGAATTAATCAACAAAGATCAAGAGAAAGCATTTACAATAGACATCAGCAGTTTTAATGGTTTTGTCTTTCACACACTGGGGAAAAATAATTTCATGTGGACCTTGTTCTCACAAGCTTAAAATGTTGCATATATGATCCTCTCTGGGTGGCTCGGCTGGTTGAAGCGTTGTTTCCTGCACCAAAAGTTTGCAGGTTCAATCCCTGATGAGAGTATACATGGGAAGCAAACTATACATATGGTCTGTTAGCTGAAAAGCACAACAGTAAGCTGTTCCTGAATTATTTCCTACTGCTTCTGCGGAGGCACTCATGGCACAGCACCATCGTTAGTCCTAATAACAAAACACATAGCACATGGAGGACTGGTAAAACTCAACTTTATTAATACTTAAACAAAGAAGATGGTTCTGCACATTAAACACATGCAACTCCACAGCTTGATCGAGACGCCCTGCACTATTACACTAACACGTGGCGGTGGTAGGGATGAGGCTGTGCTGCGCCACCGCACAGGTCTGCCGAGACGCCCCGCACTATTACACTACCACGTGGTAGTGATGAGGCTGTGCTGTGCCGCACAGATCTGCTATGCAGGCACTGTGACCATTACTGCTGTGCTAAGGCCTGCAGGTCCCATAGCCCTAGATACATTTTTTTTTTTCTCCTTAACTTCTTCACTTGAGATTAGGATGAGTTGCCCTGGAGGAACTAAAACTGCTGGGCTCGAAATACTAAAAATATTCAGGGACCAACTTGGTTGTTTTCTGTGAAAGTTTAAAATCCTCCAGAGCCCTCAGAAGTAATGCTAAGTATTCTATGGCCCCGCAGGCAGAGATGTTTCCCTACCACAGTAGGTGTGTATGTGGGGCGTCGAAGAAAGTTCTGAAGTGATGAAATCTGAAACACAGTGTGTCCCAGAGGAAAACCATGAAGCAACATGACCCTGTAGCAAAAACAAGTCCAGCAAGTAGGAAGTTCAAACCAGAAAAACAAATCACTTAGGTATTTTGGAAATAAGCCTTTGGAGAAAAATCACAGGGTTTGGAGACTATAGGTCTTCATTTTTCTCCATGCACGAAGTAGAGCACACTATCACTACTGAAGCTACAATTCTTAAAAACCTGCCTTTTATATAAATGTGTAAATGGGCAGCAGAGCCACTAAACTAGAATAAAAATCACCCACTGGGAAAGCCTGAGGTAATCCTCCAGTTGCCATGTTTCTGAAGTCGGCTTACGCATTACTGACATGGCTCATCTTCCTACAACATTAGTTTTATTCAAAGATTTGAGGGACTTGCTGGGGGTTGCCCTTAAAAGAAAAATGGGCTGTTAGATAGCTAGTGTTAATAAATACATTACAGAGAACAAAAGACTGAGGAACTAATTTTACTGAGCAGCTTCAAGGATGAACCAACCACACCCTCAATGGTAAGCATTCTGTTTACTTCCGGTTATGGATGGAAAAGTCTCAGACAGGAGGCCTTGGCCCCTGGGGCAGCCCAGCACTGACAGAGGAAAATAAGGAATCACTGGGTTACAGTTGGGCTACATCTCTGTGAGTAATGAGCTGGCCGTCTACTCTCTGATACTATGAGATACAAAATACAGCTGCCTTGGACTTGCTTTTCTGAAACTCCTCAGGTAACAGGAAAAGGCTGGTGAATTCTGTAAAGTGAGTAGAATTGTTTTGGGTTAGGGAAAGAGGTGTTCCTGGCAGCCACCACTGGGAAAATGGCAAGTCACCTTCTCACTAAAGATGACAGACCAAGTCCTGAGGGCAAGCAGCAGACAGTATCTGAAACTGGTCAGATAGTCATGGTCTTCAAGGGAAAATTGGATTCTACTGGGGTTTTCCATATCAACAGTGGACTTGAGTTTAGAATTTTCTAGTTCATTTCTAGAAGCACAATTTTTTTAAAAATATATGAAAGTAGAGGGATCAGAAATAAACGAACTCAGTTGTATTCTTTCCAACCCTCCTCCATGTGGGATTTGCTTTTCTTGCCACTTTCACTTTGGGTCCTCATACTTCTTTAACACTGTTTCCACTTCCTTCCCCTCACAGGTCAGATCTATAACTGGCCTTTGCTTTACTAACATTCATTTTCTTCCAAACTAACTAACTTTCTTTCCCTCCTTCTTCCTTTTTTTTTTCCTTCCTTCCTTCCTTCCTTCCTTCCTTCCTTCCTTCCTTCCTTCCTTCCTTCCTTCCTTCCCACTTAAAAAATAATAACAAATAAGTCTTCATTGGCTTTAGATAATAAAGCCAAACAAGTAACAGATGCTAGTGTTTTCCTAGAGTGACCATGTTAAAAATAGTTATATATGGTATCAGGTATCTCTGGCCTCCATCACGCAGCTCCTCTTTGAGAACTGAGTTGGTGCTGACTGCGTTTCAGTTCTGTCCCATCCTCCCTGGTGACCCTTTTCTCCCTTGATTAGTTCCAGGCACTGAAGGCTAAGGAAAAAAGGGAGTGGGTGGGTCCAGAAGGAAACTGACCTAGGAGACAGGCTGATATTTTTTCACTTTTAGACAAGTAAGAAAGGAAAAAGTGTTGGTGACCGTTCCCTTCACAAAACTCTCCCTTCAGGTTCGAACTTGGAACTTTCCAGCTTTGGTCATGTATTTTATGCCCTTGAAGGGTTTGTACTTCTCTCCATACATGTCCAAACGGTTCACTTTGAGTCCTAGAAGGGAGAAAGAATATGACATAAGCATAATTCATGGAAGCAGGTAACATAACTGTTCAAATTCATCTCTCTGCAGATAGATCAGTGGGATAAAGACAGTAGTAGTAATGAACCAGAAAAAGTTTCATTTATTACATCACTTACATGAAACTGATAGATTCTTCATTATTAGTATATGCACTGATAATAAAAAATTACTGCAATCAAAAGCTATCCTATTGGAAGACCTGTTTCTAAGTGGAAAGGGCAGAAAGTTGGGAACCACCCTGCCTATTTTCAAAAACTGTAAACCCCCCCCTTGGCTAAGGCTGAGTGAGAGAGACCTTGAGACCCTAAGCCACTAAGGAGACAAAGCTTATCCCCCTGGCAGGAGCACCTCCTCTGTCCACTTTACTTCACCCTGCCTGACCCCCGGTGCATGACTGGTTAGCCAGTGATGGAGAAGGTTCCTCAAGGGAGGGACAACCTAAGACAGGCATGGTCACGAGGGGAGCCCTCAGGGAAGGATTTGGGGGCCTATAGAAAAAGGGGGTGATGAACCCTCACTCCTTGGCTTTGACATAGCCTGAGTCCTCATTCTGGCTGCTAGAAGTCTCCTGATCTCTTGGCTGCCTTATTTCCCCTGCCTGCCTTAACCCTGAAACAATGCTGGAGGTAGGTACAGCCCTGTGCTAGAAAGGGCAGGTTCCTCTGGGCAGTCAGGCCTAAGAAAGAATACATAAAATCCCATGAACCCTGCTTTGCTAATACCCTCAATTTAAGTGATAAGGGTCCATGCCTGAAATGAGTTTGTTTCCCCAAAGTTCTATGGCCCTTTAGCTATTTGACCCTAACTCAAAATAAGCCCTCATAGTTCTTTGAATGTTATCTGTTTGATCATTACTGCCTAACAATGATTGATGAGCTTTCTATATATGCCCTGTATTCCTATGCAAATTGAAGCCAATAGAAGCCTGTCAAGGCAAGGGTCAGGGTGGGGCACTCTCCCCTTGACAGAGTGGCCGTGCTATCCCCATTCCTCCATAGGACTTTGGTGGCTCATGTGAATTTGTCTCATCTCATCCATAACAGTGCAGACACTGGGGGCCAGTGTCTGTATCAGAAAGTTATACACAGACTAAAATGAGGGTAAAGAAAAAGACCACTGTATATTTTTCTCTAGTTTTAGTACTGAGTACATGAATTAATAATGATACCAAATCAAGAAACTAATAATGAAATAAATTATAGTCAAATGAATGCATAATGGAAAATAATAAATTAATTAATGCTTTCTAACTATTCTCACTATACTAAGCTAAAAATTTTATATCATATAAAATTTTAAGCTTATTAAATATTTTAAGATGAAAGTTTATAACTTAAGTGAATTCTAATCACTTAATTTAGACAAGGCCTGTTGGTGAAGACAAATAGGAACTTCACGTAATCTCCTTTCTATCTTACAGAATTGTTCAAATGGTTCAATAAGAGATGAAAGGAGCTTAAAACAGTGCCCAATACCCAGTAAATGCCCAGTAAGTGGTAACCATTATTATTACTATCATCCTAAGGTAGGTGTAGACTGCAGCAAACCAGCTGGGGTAGGCCCACGGGTTCTACATGATAATAAAAGCAAATGTGAAAGTGTCCTAAAATTAGGGGGAAAGAGGGGAAATTATCCTTTTTTTAGTGATCAGCTGAGACAGCAGAAGCATTTCCACACTGAAGACCTAGGAAACCTCAACACAACAAGCCAAGGAGACTCAACAACTGCCCAGGAACACCTCTGCCTACCTATAGTATTTCCTTCTCATCTGTGTCTTAGACAACTTTCATTCACCTCGCTGAAGCCAACTTTAAAGCAAGGATTGTAAACTTTCCCCAGAAATGTGCTAGAAAGGATTTCACTGAAGATTACAGGTCAGGCCATGAAACTAAATTAGATAAGCAGGGAGTCATTTCTGTTCTCTTCAGAGCCACCTCTGCTGTGGGCACTTACCAGAAATGGCCAGCTGCTGGATCTTAAACTGCAGGTTAATTGTGGGGTTCTCATCTGGCTTGGAAGCTCCAGCCTGAAGACTCATGGTCCCCTTCAAACTTGGTAGCTTTTGGGGATTTATTTTTCCTACATCCCAAGACAGCATCTTCAAAGAAAGAAGAGTTACGATGGAACCTTTCATGTGCGACTGTTGAGCTCTAACCTCAGGCCATCGGTTGGCATATTATAACCTGCCTGTAGGGTGTTTCTCAATGGAGAATCCTATTTGTTACCCTAAATTGTCTCAAGGGAAAAACAATGTCCCTTTGATCACCCCTTTCAACAAGGTATAAAGTCTATGTGGAGGCAGGGTTACTTCTATTTGAGATCAGCAATTCAAAACCTCCTGCTTATTCTCCTACCTTGGTAACTGGGTCAAACGTGTGTGTTCCCTGAGATGGAGTGAGGCTCATATTCAGGACCCCTTTGGGCATCTGGCTGGTGACGATCACTCCCTCAATGGTCTTCCCCATAGTCTGTTTAGGTCCCACTGTTATTTCAAAGCGTCCAAGTGAACTACTGTCCCGGAAACTGATGCTGTGTTTGACATACACTGGAATTGCCACCAGGCTGGAAAAGAGAAAGACAAAAAGCCCATTTCATTAATGTGCTGCCAAAATGGCACCTTTTCCTCCTTGTCTGCCCTGCTGGCAACTCTTCCTCCCTTGTCTACTTCCTTACTCATCTTAAAAATGAAGCACAGGTAAAAGCCCCTAGTAATCTTTTATTTGTTTCTTTATGTAAAGCTAAGATGCTGTCTAGTAAGTAAACTAACTCTCCCAATGACTCTTTGAATAATATCCACAAAATTAAAGAGTATACTAAGCCTACTATGAGAAAGGCATTATAAACAAAAATTAGGAGTCACCATATTTCTGTTTTATTTTGTGACATGTAACTGATAATTATTTGTACTTGGGAGAGTAATATTTATACGTTATGCACATTAAATAATTTTTTTAGATTTTATTTATTTTTAGAGAGAGGGGAAGGGAAGGAGAAAGAGTGGGAGAGAAACATCAATGTGTGGTTGCCTCTCACATGCCCCCCCACTGGGGACCTGGCCTGCAACCCAGGCATGGGCCCTGACTGGGAATCAAACCAGCGACCCTATTTGCAGGCCCACACTCAATCCACTGAGCCACACCAGCCAGGGCTAATAATTTCTTGAGAGAGACCTTTCACCTGACCTTATCTGATCCTTATAAATGCCCTGTGAAATAGGGTAAATTGTCCTGACTTGACAGAAGAAGAAACAGAGAAGTCAGAGAACAGTAACAGTTCCTAATATCCGTTCAGCACTTCCTGAGTGCCGCTATGCCACATGCTTTATCTCTATTACCTTATTTAATCTTCCAATCAGTATGAAGTAGGTACCAATTCGATATTGTCCTGATTTCACAGATGAATACTAATATGCTTAACCTCATTAAGTAACTTGCCCAAGGTCACATATCATAAATACTGAAGATATGAATTAAGTCTAGGCAGTCTGATTCCAGAGCCTTTGCTCTCAAGTACTCAAGATAGTTTTATAAACTATTTATTTCAAATCACACAGAATAGTACTGGCAGCTCTGAGGTCGCATAGCTCTCTTCAGTCCACACACCTTCTAGTATACACCTCCTGCTTATAAAAACCCTTAGACTCATACTGCAGAGAATGTCCAAGACCAAAAATCACTGCATTTTATGGTTTTCATTGCATAATTAATTGCTTCTTTTGGGTTGGGGGGTTGAATACAGGTATACTCAGATTCCAATTCGAGGAAAAAACAATGTTCTTTAGACATATAGTAATGACAACAAAAATAACAGCATCAAACTTAATGAGCACCAACTTTCTGATAAGAACTATTTAGATTCTCTTATTTAACATTCATAACAAGGCACTTTTATTATTTTCAACTTACAGATAAGAAAACAGACCCAGAAAGGGTAAGCAACTTGGCTGAGGTTACCCAATTAGTAAGTGTAGAAGCTGGAATTTGAACCCAGGTAACTCCAGAGCCAGAGTTCTATCACTATGGATATGACTCTCTCGCACACGAGCACACACGCGCGCACACACACACACACACACTCTCCATTCTTAATTATAAGGGCTGCTTACTTCTGGGCACTGACATGGTAAGAGAGCAGGCGAAAGTTTCCATCAGGAGGGATGAAGGAGAGGATACGCTCGGATTCCCAGCGCTTGAAACGAACACAAGGATGGAAGCTGACGTCATCCAGCAACCTGGGGTTCTATAGTTACCAGTCATGGAGAAGCAAAAAGTAGGAATTAAACACCCATCTTTCTTTCAGGAGTAATTTAGATGCTGTTTTTACTAAAACATATACACACACACACACACAAATTCTGTAGTTACTTATAGAAAAGTCAAGCCTGACACAGTTGTGTGGATGTCCCTAATCATTTTTTAAAATATTTTATTTTTTTAAAAGATTACTTATTTGTTTTCAGAGACAGAAGGGAAGGAGAAAGGGAGAGAAACATCAGAGGGTTGCCTGGCCCACAAACCAAGCATGTGCCCTGACTGGGAATCAAACAGGAGATCTTTTGGTTCACAGGCTAGAACTCAACCCACTGAGCTGTACCAGTCAGGGCATGATTTTATTAATTGATTTTTAAAAGGAAAGAAAGGGAGGGAGAAAGAGAGGGAGAGAAACATCTAGATGAGAAACATGGACCAAATTGCCTCTAGCACACCCCCCACTGGGGACCTGGCCCACAACCCAGGGATGGGAATCAAACTGGTGACCTTCACAGGCTGGTGCTCAATCCAATGAACCATACCAGCCAGGGCCTTAATTATACCTTTTGTTCCATTTCATTCTCACAACTCTGTCTTTACAAAAGCATTTAATTTCCCCTCCAGAGAACTAAAACTGTGGTCCAGGCTTTTACCATGAAGGACAGCGTAAGGTCCGGCATTCCAGTCAGCTTGACACAGGCATCAATCACCCCTTGGATCTCAGCGGTAATGGTGGAACCTGAGACCGCAGCAAGACAAAAGGCAGGTAGGAGGTAACTGAACTCTCCTCTGTTCTTCCCAACTCATTTCCTTCTTCCTGCCCTCCTTCCATCTCTTCCTTCCTTTGTCCCTCCCTCACTCTTCCTTCTTTCCTTCTTTCTCTCCATCTAATTCACCTACCCAACACTGTCCATCCTTCCAAACATTTATCAACTATGTATCAAGTATGAGACACTTAGATGAAATAATGGGAATAAAAAATTAATGAGATACTTAGCCTAAAGGAGTATTCAATCTAGTACCAGAATCACATAGAATATCATAATCTTAACTAGTGGTTCAGAAAATTCCATATCAGAAATTGCTTTCCCTAAGGCCACTGATGAGCTTTGCAGCTATACTGAATGGACACATTGGGACTTTATCTCCCGGGTTCCCTCTGTAAAATTCGTCATTGTTGAGCCCCTTCTTCCTTTTCCAAATCCTCCCCTCCTAGTTTTCTACCTGTCTCCCTCAGTACCTTCTGCAGACTGATTTCTTGTCACATCCTCTTAATGTCTCTGACTTTTCAGTTCCAAATTTCTCCTTTCACTCAACACTCTCCCTTTGGGTTATTTCATCTACTGCTCCAGGCTTCCATTTTTACTGATGGCTAATTATTTCCTAATCTTTTTTTCCAGTTCAGCCAATTGGACAGCTCCACTTAGATGTCCTGGAGGCACTTCAAACTCTACATGTGACAGCGAATTCATTATCTTCATTCCTGGACCTGCTCTTTCTATTTTCCGTATCTTCATGATGATACCATCTATCCTGTTGCTAAACCAGAATATCCTCGACCACTTCTAATTGTTCATTGCCCATAACCAATCAATGATCATTTCCTCTCTTTTATGTGACCCCTATCTTTTAACTCATCTGTTCCTCTCCACCCTCACTACCGTTGAGGACAGCTATATTTTCTGACTTCGGTAATAGCTTTCTGCTTTCCCTACCTTCAGTCTTACCCCATTCCAAGATCTTCTGCACACTGCAGCTGGACCGATAGTTTTAAACTACAAATCTGTTCAAGTTACACCCCAACTTAGAATTTTTTAATTGCTCCAAATAACCCTCCTTAAAAAAGCATACAAGCCTCTTCATGATCTAGCCATCTAGTTGTTGTTGTTTTTTTTAAATTGAGGCAAAACTTACAGTAAAATGCCAAAATCTTAAATGTACAGCTCAATAAATTTTTAAATATGTATATGCCTATGCAAATATCACCCACATCAAGATGTGAAACCTTTTTAGCATTCTACTATGTTCCTCTTGCCCAATCTAATTAGTCCAAGTCCTTAAAATTCTGACTTCTATTACCTCAGATTAAATTGCACCTGTCTTCAAACTTCATACAAATGTACATGGCCTTATGCAGCCAAGTTTCTTGCTCAACACTGAGATTCATTCATGTTGTTGGCTGTATAAGTAGTTACTCTTTTTCATCATTGTATAGTATTCCATTGTTGGACCATATCAAAATCTATTTATCCTTTCTATTACTAATGGATATTTTTTTTCAGTTTTGAACTAATATGAAAAGCTATACCTAGTTTTAAAGCCTCAATACTTATTTTTCTTTTTTTATTCTTCTCAATCCAGTCATACTAAACAACTTTATTTCCAAACAATATTTTACTTATCTTTAAGTGTTTGCATATACTTAGCTCCAAAATACATGAATGTTTTAATAACTTCTATTCATTCCACCAATTAAGCATAAACATTCACTGATGCAGACACCAGCAAGCAGTGTCTGCACCATTATGGATGAGATGGACAAATTCACATGAACCACCAAAGTTCTATGGAGGAATAGGGATAGCACAGCCACTCTGTCAAGGGAAGAGTGCCCCACCCTGACCCTTGCCTTGACAAGGCTTCTATTGGCTTTAATTTGCATAGGAATACAGGGCATATATGGAAAGCTCATCAATCACTGTCAGGCAGTAATGATCAAACAGATAACATTCAAAGAACTATGAGGGCTTATTTTGAGTCAGGGTCAAATAGCTAAAGAGCCATAGAACTTTGGGGAAACAAACTCATTTCAAGCTTGGACCCTTATCACTTAAATTGAGGGTATTAGCAAAGCAGGGTTCATGAGATTTTATGCATTCTTTCTTAGGCCTGGTCGCCGCAGGGAACCCACACTTTCCAGCACAGGGCCGCACCCACCTCCAGCATTGTTTCAGGGTTAAGTCAGGCAGGGGAAGTAAGGCAGCCAAGAGATCAGGAGACTTCTAGCAGCCAGAATGAGGACTCAGGCTATGTCAAAACTGAGGAGTGAAGGTTCATCACCCCCTTTTTCCATAAGCCCCCAAATCCTTCCCTGAGGGCTCCCCTCGTGACCATGCCTGTCTTAGGTTGTCCCTCCCTTGAGGAACCTTACCCATCATTGGCTAACCAATCATGCACCGGGGGTCAGGCAGGGTGAAGTAAAGTGGACAGAGGAGGTGCTCCTGCCAGGGGGATAAGCTTTGTCTCCTTAGTGGCTTAGGGTCTCAAGGTCTCTCTCACTCAGCCTTAGCCAAGGGGGGGGGATTACAGTTTCTGAAAATAGGCAGGGTGGTTCCCAATAATTCACCTCTTTAGATTTTATTCTGTATGAGTAGGATACCTCTCTTATCCTCCACCTTTTTAACTTTCCTTCCCCTACTAGACTTTAAGCAAGCTTCTGTAGCCATAGCCTGTCTTTCTTTCTCTTTCTCTTTGTAACCCCTCTTGTCCCCTTTATTTGTATAACCTCACTGTCAACAACAAAATAACATGATCATCATCATCAACAGCAGCAGCTACAACAAAGGTATTTCATAAAAAGGTCCAGAAGTTTGTATATGGAACACAATTCAGGACCCAATTAGGGTTTCAAAAAGATTTAGTGCCAGAACTCAGAAATTATTAGTAAAAAAATGCTGAAAATACCATCACTGAACCAAAAGCCAGCTGCCACTCACCCACATTTACTGACAAGAACCTCTGAAGACTCGTCATGGAGAAGATAAGATTCCCACCACTATGCTGAGTGACAGCCACATAATGACTAATTGTCCCCCTGAATGACATGTCCCTCTTCATTATTTACAAATAATTGTTGTTTTCCTATATTATCAGAATGGGAATATTATAGGTATTTAATGACTTAGTTACTGGGCTTACTTTTCTCTTTGAGAATTTGTCTATCTCATCTTTTTAAAAATTGTTATTAAATTTACTGACATGGCATTGGTTAACTGTGCAGACAACAAGGAACTGACAAGAAATATTCAAAGTCATGAAAAGCAGGGACCTACAGCCAAGATTGTTCTACTCAGCAAAGCTATCATTTAGAATCAAAGGGCACATAAAGTGCTTCCCAGATAAGCAAAAACTAAGAGTTCATCATCACCAAAGCATTATTACATGAAATGTTAAACGGACTTAATAAAAAGATCAAAACTGTGAATAAAAATGGCAAAAATTCAAATCTATAAACAATTCACTCTAAAAAACAAGCTAAGCAAACAAGAGGAACAGAGACAGAATCATGAATACAGAGAGCGTTTTGACAGTTGCCAGATGGGAGGGGGTTGTGGGGAAATGCACGAAGAAATAAAGGGATTAAGAGGTATCAATAGGTAGTTACAGAGTAGCCAGGAGGATGTAATGTACAGTGTAGAAAATGGAGTAGCCTAAGAACTTGTATGCATGACCCATGGACATGAACAAAGGTGGGGGGATTGCCTGAAGGAGTGAGGGACGCTGGGTGGAGGTGGGGCAAAGGGGAGAAAATCAGGACAACTTTAATAGCATAATCAATAAAATGTAATTTGAAAAATAAAGTACTTAGGAAAAAAGTAAATAAAAATAAATAAAGTGTGAGACAAGCATTGGTCTGCACTGTCATGTTTTTATTGCCTTTTTCAACTCTACTGAGGTATAATTAACTAATAAAAATTGTATATAAGCTGTACGACTTGATGTTTTGATATACATGTACATTGTAAAATGATCACCAAAATCAAGCCAATTAACATATCCATCACCCCAGTTATTTGTGTGTGTGTGTGGTGAGAGCACTAACAATCTCCTCTCTCTGCAGATTTCAAATATATAAAACATATGTGAAGTGAGGATGTGTTGATTTAAGTAGATGGGGTGAGGGGAACCCTTTAACAATGCAACTGTAGTCACTGCTGTACATTAAATCTCCAGAACTTACTCACCTCGCATAACTGAAACTCTTTGACTGACACCTCCTCATTTGTCCCTCCTTCTAACCTCCAGTAACTACTCTTCTGCTCTCTCTGCTCTTATCAAGTGAGGCCATGGAGTACTTGTCTTTCTGTATCTGGTTTATTTCAGTTAAGTGTAATGCCCTCCAGGTTCACCCATGTTGTTGAAAATGGCAAGATTTCCTTCCTTTTTTACAGTTGAATAATCTTCCATTGTATGTATAGATCAGGCTCACATTTTCTTTACCCATTTGTCCGTCAACAGACATTTAGGTTGTTTCCAGATCTAGGCTACTGTGAATAATGCTGCAATGAACATGGAAGTGCAGATACCTCTTCGAGCTACTTATTTCATTTCCTTTGGATATAATCAGAAGTGGGATTGCTGGACCATACGGTAGTTCTATTTTTAAGATTTTGAGTAACCTACACACTGTTTTCCACAATGGTTGTGCCAATTTACATTCCCACCAACAGTGCACAAGGGTTCCCTGTCCTGCACATCCTTTCAACATTTATCTTTTGTCTTGTTATAATGGCCATTCTAACTGGTATGATGAAATATCTCATAGCTTTTATTTGCACTTCCCTGATGATTAGTAATTGTTGAGCACATTTTCAAATACCCTCTGGCCATTTTTATGTCTTTTTCTGAAAAATGTCTAGTCATGTCCCATGCTGACTTTTTAATCAGGTTATTTGGTTTTTGTGCTGTTTTGCTAGAGTTGCATGAATTCCTTATGTTTTAGATATTAATCCCTCTTCAGATGCATGGTTTACAAGTATTTTCTCCATTTATAGATTGCCTTTTCATTCTGTGGATTGTTTCTTTCTTGTGAAGAAGCTTTTTAATTTGATGCAATCCCTTTTGTCTATTTTTGCATTTGATGCCTTTGCTTTTGGTGTCATATCTGAAGAAAATCATTGCCTAAACATATCAAAAAGTTTTTTTCCTATCTTTTCTTCTAGTAGTTTTATGATATCATGTCCTATGTTTACATCTTTAATCCATTTTGCGTTGATTTTTGTGTGTGGTGAGGTAAGGTTTTAGTTTGATTGGTCTGTATGTGGATATTCAGTTTCCCCAACACATTTAATGAAGAGACTACCCTTTCCCCATTGTATATGTGTGACACCCTTGTTGAAGATTGGTTGATTATAAATGTGTGGTTTTATTTTTTAGCTCTATATTTTGCTTCATGTGTCTCTATATCTGTCTTTATTTCAATTCCATTCTGTCTTAATTAATGTAGTTTTGTAATATATTTTGAAATCAGGAAATGTGAAGTTCCCAGCTTGATTCTTCCTGCTCAAGGCTGCTTTGGCTACTTGGGGTCTTTATTGGTTTCATATGAATTTTTTCCCCTATTTCTACCAAGAATGCCATTGGGATTTTGATGGGGATAACACTGAATCTGTAGAACACTGTGGGTATTATCAACCTTATAACAATATTAATTCTACCAATCCATGAATATAGGTGTCTCTCCATTTATCTGTCTTCTTTAATTTTCTTCATCAATATTTTATAATTTTCAATGCACAAATCTTTCACCTCTTTTGTTAAGTTTATTTCTTATTTTTGTTGCTATCATAAATGGAACTGGTTCCTTAATTCCCTTTCAGGATAGTTTGTTGTTTGCATATAGAAATGCCACTGTTTCTTGTATGTTGGTTGTTTATACTAGAACTTTATTGAACGTATTAGTTCTAAGAGTTTTTAGTTGAATCTTTAGGGATTTCTACATATATGATCATGTCACCTGCATCATTATATTTAAGTCCATTTCAAATACCTAGCACAGTGCTTGACACAAAGTAGGCACTAAGTTAAAATGAATGATTTTGAATTGGGGGATAAGTCAGCTAATAGCAAGCATTGCATGAAAGGGGCTTCTTTGTATTTTCCTAGTTCAGAGAACAGGCTAAAAGCACCTACCTGATTTATCAATGATGGCATCAATCTCTTCAATCACATCAAAATAGGCCTCGTTATTGGTGTATTTCACCCCAGTCCGTCGCCACGGCACCACTGACAGCTGCCCAGTGGGAAGCTGGTCACCCACATTGGTACTTCCTGAGATAATGAATATTACTGTAATTTGTTTCCAATTTTATAACTGGATGTAATCAATTATCTCATAATCATAGAATACTTCCCTAGATGTTTCTATGCTCCCACTATTCATTTAGTCAATTAAAGAATTTTTTGAAAAACAGACAAGAGTTTTCCCAAGTTCTATATGGGCAACCTAGTTTACTTTAAAAACTTGTCGCCATCTGGTCTGCCTTCTCGAGCAGAATAAAGGTTAAAATAGTTACCTGAGAAACAGATATCATATTTTGGTTTTGAAAGTAACTTGAACTTGGTCTCTCAAATTCCACAATAGCTTGCAGCTTAAATAATGTATTGGCTTTCAGTAGAGATGGTAATCTACATATTGATATAAAGTTTTCATGGGTAAAAACAGTATTCTAGTTTGAAATAGATTCTTAGTACATTTATGCTAGGTATTAAAATGTACACATCAAAATAATCTTTCTCATACCACTACTGAAACTTAGAAAAAGAATACAAATTACATCTTCCTCTATCTCTAAGAGTTATAAATCAATTCCTCAACTTGTTTTTCCCTCACAAGCATCAAAAATATTTTAATTCAAAGATTCTATACTAAAATTATGAAATATTGTAACTAATTCAACATTTCCTTCTCCTGTAACTTAGATCTTTTTAACCTAAAGAAAAAAAACATTAAACACACACATATTCATCATGTTTACAAAACATTTAAGCTTTTCAAAATGGTTCTCAGATACTTTTCTCTAGATTTAAGTGAGATTCTGGAAAATGTTTTAATAATATTCATAAATGATCAGGTGCTAATAGGCTTTTTAAGGTTTAAAATGAGCCCCAAATTTTGAAAAACCCAACAAATGTTTTCTTAAAAAGCGTGCTATATACAAAGCATGTCATCAAGCTATAATAATTAAGTGAATATGATAGTAAGGCAGAAAAGCCTAAAAAAGGACCAAGAATCCACAATGATTTAAGTACAAGATAAAAATATCACTTGAAAGCAGAGGAAAAAAGATAAATTATTCAAGGACTAGTGCTAGGAAAAGTGACTGACAATTTGGAGAAATAAACATAGAGCTTTACTTTATATTGATTACTAAGATAATTTCCAAATAGATTAAGTAATTCAATCCAAAAATAAAACTGTAAAAGAACGAGAAGAAAATACATTTTTTAGAAAAGACTTTCCCTTGTACAAGATCCAAAAGACATTCTCTTAATATAGGTGAGGGGAGGCAAAAAAAAAAAAGACATTCTTATGTTTTCTTTTAATTGTTATAGAGTTTGTTTGTGCTTATTTCTAGCTGGACCTTATTTCATATATAGAATAAGTAGGGAGATTTCATTTCTTTTCTATATCAAAGCGGATTCCCCTAGTACAACAGATTTAACAACTGGCCCCTGGCCCACTTATTTATGACCACATCTATTTATACCAAATTCCTATAAATACAAGTGTTTGTTTCTGGACTTTCTATTTTATCCCAATCACACTTGCCTATTACTGGGCCAATACTATATTTTTTAAATTACCAAAACTTCATGATATATCTTGTACCTGATAGGACACACTCTCTTGTTCTTCTTTTAATGTTTATTTTCAAAACTGTCTTGATTTTTATAACTCAAATCTATTCTATGAATTTTTGTCTCATGTACCATATGAACTTAGTATATCTTGATACTATTTGACACGGAAATCCTTCCAACCCTTTTGTAATTCTTTTTCAAAATCATCCTGGCTACTGTGCACATTTATTGCTTTTAAAGTATATTTTTCAATCAGTTTGTCAATTTTTTTGTAAGCCCTACTTATATACTTAGCAATTTACATCCAAAATGTAAAACCTTAATGAAGAATGATTAACTTCATTACATCAAAAAATTTTAAATGTGGCTACACAAACAATGTCATGTAAAATGTCAAATGACAAGATAGACTGTGAGAAAACACCTATAACAGAGTATTCAAAATATATAAAGAACTCCCACAAACCAACATGTGCATTTCCAATATACAGGGTATAAGGCTTGAGTGTGGTTAGGAGGGTACATGAATGTCTCACATGAGATGGACAGCAATTTGAACATTTCACCTAAAATGTCATATGGTGTGCCTGAGTGTGATATTGTTATATTACAGAATTAGAGAGTGTGATATTGTTATGTTATGTCTTTGTAATAAAAAAGGAGTGTTATTTGTGCCGGACCCTGTATATGGTAGTTTAATATCCTTAAATGAAAGAATTATTTTAAATTACAATAGAAAAGAAAAGCATTTCAATTCAAGGAGTGCATCATCACCAAGCCATTATCATATGAAATGTTAAAGGGACTTATCTAAGAAAAAGAAGATAAAAAAGATGAACAGTGAAAGGACAGCAAACTCACAGAGAGTAACAACCACATCTAAAACAAAAGCAAGCTAAAAGGACAGCTAGATCAGGAGTGAACCAAAGAAATGAAGATCACACGGAAGGTTAGCAACAGGGGAGTGGGAGGAGAAGAAGGGGGGAAAAGGTACAGAAAATAAGTAGCATAGACGGTAGGTAGAAAATAGACAGGGGGAAGGGCAAGAATAGTATGGGAAATATAGAATCCAAAGAACTTGAGACACATGGTCATAATCTAAAGGGGGGGGAATGGTAGGGGTGGGGGGGTACAGGGTGGAGGGGAAGGAAGGGGAGAATAGAACAACTGTAATGGCATAATCAATAAAAAGAAAAAAAGAAAAGCATTTCAACATAAAAAAAATGGGCAAAGGACACAAAAAGTAATTCACTATAGAGGAAAAACAGTAAACATTTGAACAGCTTTACATCCTTAGTAATATAAAAATGAGTGTGAATTACAAGATATCACTAAACTAATATCCAAAGTTTTTAAAATTAATAATAATAATGATGATGATAAGAGGGTTGTCTAGGGTACACAGACATTGCTACTGAAAGTATCAATTGGTGTAACTTTCCTGGAGGGCAAGTTGGCACAATGCCTTCAAGTCCGTAAAATGCGCACACCCTCTGTCCCAGCCCTTCTATTTCTAGTACTGAAACGACATCATCCTAGATGTGCACAAAGGTTTAAGGATAAGAATGCTGATTTCTTGTTATTTAAAAGAACAAAAAATCGGAAACATAAACAGAGACTGAGTAAATAATTTAGGGTCTATTCCATATGGCAGGAAATTGTAAAGTCACATTATGATAACTATCATAATGAAATATTTTGTGAATAGTATTCATAAAATATTGATAAAAGGCAAGTTTGAATCTATGTACAAGAGTAGTTAAAAAATTTTCTATCCATTCATCTATAATCTATCTGTCTAGAAAAGATAAAAAATATATACACAAGTATGTTAAAAGTGTGACGGGCCCTGGCTGGTGTAGCTCAGTGGATTGAGCGCGGGCCTGGGAACCAGAGGACCGAGGTTCGATTCCTAGTCAGGGCACATGCCTGGGTTGCAGGCCAGTTCCCAGCAGGGGACGCACAAGAGGCAATCATACATGGATGTTTTTCTCCCTCTTTCCTTCCATTCCCCTCTAAAGATAAATTTTTTTAAATCTTAAAACAAAAGTGTGATGGGATTAAGAATTAATTTCACGTTCTTTGTGCTCTTCTGTATTTCCAACATTTCTACAATAATCATGTGTTTCTTCTGAAATCAGAAAAATATTGTTTTTCAATTGTTTTACTTCATTCTGTTTTTGAAATCAGGGTATTTTCTACATAATTAAAGTCTCTTTCAGGTCATACTTCAAGACTATAAAGAGCAAAATTAAAGTACCTGGACACTGGAGATCCCCACAGATAAGCATTCACAACAATGCTCGGACCAGACCAAGCCACACCCTCGCTGGCCGAGGCTTTCTGTGTGTTTGCCCTTTGTCCATACCTGTTATGGTGTTGACAACCGTTCGAAGAATGGTGGGAGGCTTTATCAGTTCTTTGAGGATGTTTGACTCGGTAGCTAATGGAAACCCATTATCAAGCATCTCTTCCAAAACCTCATAAACCACAACCACGTTGTCTTTGATCACCGGCTCTGAACAGACTCCAAAATAATCCTGATGAAAAGATAGTGTATACATTTATCACTCAGAGACTGTCATTAAGTGAGAGAATGAGAGAATGTTCCCAGAAAATAAGGATCTAGTTCTGCCCATATGTATTTACTCAATGTTTAGGATATTCTTCTACAACAAGGGAATGAGGCGTAATCATAGTTCTCTTAAAAAGAACACTTCTTGTACCAGTGTCATTACTAACTTCTTTTATAAACTAGAGTAAGTCATTTAGCCTCCTTGGATTGGTTTCTTCAACTAGATAAAATATACAGAATACAAAACTAAATCTAAACTATTATATGTGCTTATGAACAAGAATTTGAAAGAACTATAATACCAGATATGACATACTTTGGAAGTGAAAATCTTCTTAATCTGTTACTGTATGCTACTGCTTGACATTCATGCAGCAAATAAGAATTTAGAGGGAAATAAAATAAAATGAGGGGTATGAGCAAGCACACTAGAAAATCACTTTGTACCATCCCTACTTTACGATGTTATGATTCTAAGAATGCTTTGTCCTTTTATTAACAAAAGCTAAATTTAGATACTAAATTATCTGGGTTGTGGAAAAAGCACTGGATTCCAAATCAAGACCTGGGTTACAATTGTCACTTACTAGATTACTAGATTAAGTCATGCTAATTTGGGTCTCGATTTCTTTAACAGTATAATCAGGATAATACCACTGGACACACAGGGATGTTGTAAGAACTCAGCATAATTGATTAAATGATAACATATGTGAAAGTGCTTTGTAAACTATAAAGCACTATGTAAATGCAATGCATGATGCTAAAATGATTTAGAAAAAAAAATCTGCGGTCATTTGGTGCACCCTTCTAGCAATGCCAATCATGTCTTGTCCTGGACCTCTGAGATGGTTACATGACCTTCTTGAATTCATCCACTGAAGGAAAACTGACTCCTTTTTGAGACAGCCCATTCTATTCATGGACAGCTCTGATTATTAGGAAGTTCTTTTGCTGAACTAAAATTTGTTTCCTAGATCTCCCTTACAAAACAAGTTTATAGACTAGTCCCACAGCTATTTGAAGACAACTACAGGATTTCATTTCAATATTTTTTCTTAAATTTTTTTATCATCGCCTGAGGTCATTTTTTCATTGCTTTTAGAGAGAGAGAAAGGGACAGCGGGAGAAAGAGAGAAGCATCAATGCAAGAGAAAATATCAGTCGGTTGCCCCTGGTATGTGCCCAGATCAAGGACTGAACCCACAACCTAGACATGTGCCCTGACCAGGATCAGACCCACAACCTTTCAGTTTATGAGATGAGGCTCCAGCCACTGAGCCACAGCAGCCAGGGCTTCACTATTTTTACTTAGGCCCAAACTCCCTGTTTGCTCTTTCCACTGTTTGTGCCATGGTATGATTCCTAGATCATTTTACCCTCTTGCCATTTCTTTGAATACGCTCCAGTTTTCCCATATTCTCCTCAAATTGTGATATTCAAAACTGATGACAGACTCCAGATGTGATTTAATTACGTCAGATAATGTCATTACTGAAGTCATTCCAATATCCAAGAGCACTTAGAAATGTTTCTAAAACAAAAATATTTTTTCTTTAAAATCAAGAAGTTAAGGCCAAAAAAGTTACACATTCCTTCCCAAGGGAGACTTGATTTTGAAAGATAAATAAAACATATCACTAGATTTTATAAATCTGGCAGAATGTGAACTTGGCAGTTGGAAAGGAGAATTGTAAGTATGACGCATTGCTAGAGCAAAAGGGCCTGCAATCCCATAGCTGAAACTCTTCTGTTATATTCTAGTCCTAGAAATATAATACAGCCAGAAAGAACATGTATCAGAAAGACACCCGTGTCAGGATATATCCATTGACTTTTAACAAATGCATCAAAAATGACAAGTTCTGAAGTTCCAAACTTCTAAACCAGCAACTTTACTGTTTTCTCAAAATCTTCTGTGGTTTCAACTACATTAAACTTTTCTCACTTCCTGTCTTATAATTAGCTACATAATATCATGGCAATATGAAGCTGATGTCAAGTTTCACCAATGGGACTGTTAATTTTAGGACAGGGTAAAGATTCATATGTGGAAACCATAACAGGGCCCAGTCAGAGCAGTCTGAGTTCCTGACTACTGGGTTCTTTCACTTACAGTTCCTTCACACACTGGGCTTCATAACTCTCAGGTTTTCATTGTGTGAAGGAACCACATGCCACGTGAAAACTGGAATCCCAGAATAACACTACCAACAAAGTGTCTGTGGGAAAATTCTGCCTTTGGAATGAAAGCTGTTCCAGGCATGTGATCTAGATATAAGTGCAAATGAAAGGACTCTTTGACTTACTTTTCATTATTTACCATGACATTGGGGTCCTTCTTCTCTTCTCATTCTGTTCCACAATTTTTATATTCATGTGACTAATTCCAGACTTCACATGACATCAAAGTTGAATCAAAGAGCCCCTGCTTCCCATTTATCATCTGAGTTATACAAATACCACAACAGTTAGTAGTTGGGCAAGTCTTTTGGGAGAGGATTCCACTGTCTAAAACCAGAGTCTGGGCAAAGCTCAAAATCTGTGCTATAAATGGTGCTGACATCCCACTCCCCAAGATCTTCAAATCTATTCCTGAAGAAAAAACTCACAATGAAAACTGTCTTGTAAAATGTGTGCTTAAATTCTTTTGGTACAGATTTTTCAATATTAGGTTTGCAACAACAAGCTTCTATGCTGCGGATAAGCACCCTAAACCCATGATGAAGTACAGGTTCACAAATTACCCTTGCCACAGAGAGTGAAAATTAGCCTTACTTAGCTTTTCTACTTAAAAAAAATATATATATATATATATATATATCTTTATACACTCATCACTTTTTGATGCAACTCAAAGCATGTAATTAACAATGGTTAGCATCAAGTCCACTATTTTTAAAAACCTCCAAAAACTAAAGTCCTCTGTGAACAAAGTGTGAGACAATTCTAATCTCCAGAACTAAAATGACTGCAGACAATCATACCAAGTGGGGTGGCTTTCTCATGCAACAGGTGCAAAAGCACTCAATTTGTCATTCTAGATGCTGCCAATTCAATAAGTAGAATCAAGAATCTTATCAGATGGGGAGGAAGTGAGCAATGTCAGAGTTTCAATTTTTTTTAAAGGTTCCTGAATTAGACTGCATACAATGGAGACAGAATAAGAAGGATAGTTTATCGTTTACATATATGAACCTTGTCACATTCACGCACCTGAAATGTGTCCACTACTCGGTGAAGGAACTCAATGACAAATAGAGGTGGGACCTCCGTCTGGATCACAGCCACAAAGAAGATCTTGTGCCGGTATACACTTAAGAGATAGTGGTGAGGGGTAGGGATAACTGGTGGTACGTTTTCTGCCTCAGTAGCTCTCTCTTGTGCCTCAAAAAAGTAATCGCAAACAGAACGGCTGACCACGCTTTTCCAATGTTTCTCCAGGAAAATATCTCCTGAGGAGTTGATCAAGAAAAGGCTATGAATCATGTTGGAGATTGCCAAAAGGAGAGGAAAGTATTTTTCAGTCTAAACTCCTCAGGACTCGACAAATTTTCAACCCTAAAAAAAAAGACAAAAGAAGTTATGATCAGTTCCACTGAACCAAAACACCTTCCCCATCTTTTCTAGAGGTCCAAGTGTTATCCATCCTTCAAGAACAGACTCAAGCCTTCCTCTATGGCATGAGATTGAATTCTCCCTCCTTTGAATTCCTAAGGATAATTATCAGCTATCTCATTTGCCAATCAATCATATACTGCCTAGTTATCTGTCCTAGTGCCTGAACCATGGCTATTTAAAATTCAACTTAATTTGTGGATGTGCATTTTTCTCAACTGGACTTTAAGCTCCTTGAGAAAAATAACATGCTTCATGTTTTTTGTTACCTCACTCCACAGTGCTCTCTTACATAAAGAGGGCTTCAAAGAATATTAATGAGATTCATGTATTTGGTTACAACTCACACAAATATATATTTATAGTTATGCAGTCTCAAATGGTGGCCATTAGCCAAATATGGAGAGTGAGCACTTAAAATGTAACTGGTCTAAACCGAGATGTTCTGTAAGTGTGAGATACATGCCAGATTGTGAAGGACTTGTATGAAAATGAGATTTTAAGATCTCTTACCAATAATTTAATAAATTTAAATTAAATTAATGTTGATACTTAATATTGATATTTTAGATACATTGGGTTAAATAAAATACATTAAATTTATTTAACCTTTAAAAAATTTTTAATGTGGTTAGGTGAAAATGTAAAATTAGTAAATAGTATGTGGCTTGCATTATATTTCTATTGGACAGGGCTGGTCCATGGAATGGAAAGTTGTCATTGTGATCTTTATTCATTCAGTCAGTTCCCATTCTCTAAATACATTATGCACAAGGTTCTGCGTTGGATGCCTTAAAAAAAATCCCTCTGGCCCTGGACAGAGGTTCAATCCCCAGTGAGGGCACACGCCTGGGTTGCAGGTTTGGTCCCCCAGTCGGTTAGCACACAAGAGGCAAATGGGTCGATGTTTCTCTCTCTCTCTCTCTTTCTCCCTCCATTCCCCTCTCTCTAGAATCAATAAAAAGAAAAAATCCCTCCGGGGAATAACTCTGGTCCCTCGGGCGACAACATCTCTATGATACCAGTTCACAGGATGAAGCAGCTGCACTGTACCCCAACTGTGTCCATCCTGCGAACTGGCCCAGGAGGTTTTATACATACGGCAAAGGCCTGTTGTACCAAGTGCCCCAGTGCGAGCCTAATCCTTCTACGGATGGACATGACAGCCAGAGGGAGGGGAAGCTGAGACTAGCTAGGATATGGATGAGGGAGAGACGGCTGCCGGAGTGGGTTATTTTTGCGCCGGTCCCAGCCCAGTCCTGCCGCTTGTGAGCCATAGGTAATCAACGTTTGAGGGCAAGGAGGACAAGGGGGCGGTTTAAGGTGCGTGCACACTTAGGAGGTGAAGAGTCACCAGTCAGCGCTCGTGCGTTGCCATAGCAACAGTAGCCCCTCCTCCCTCAGTCATCGGCCCGAAAGGGGCCACCTCCGCAGCCTGGTGCTCGATCCCTAACATCTCCCCATCCCTAACATCTCCCCACCGCTTTCCGCAGCGCGGAGGTTAAGTCTGCTGACATCTCGTAACCTTACCCGCGCGCGCGCCCCCGTTCAACCCGCGCGCCCCACCCTGGACCCCGTCAGCAGTGAGAGCGCGCCATCGCCTTCCCGGACCCAAGTCCCCAGACCTCCTCACCCGGCCTTGCTCTTCGCAGCGCCCACCTTTTCCGCTGTGCTGCAGGCCCCGCCTCCCCACCCCACCCCACCCCCGATCTCCAGCCTGTCGCCGCTCGCCTGCTGATTGGCCTGCGTGCAGGCCTTGCGCCAGAGACCGAAGTCTGAAAGCTTTGGATTGGGCGTCAGTGATCCGCTTCTTCCCTCTGATTGATCGCATTTCTCGGCGCAGCACGTTCTCTGACTCAGTCCTTCTCCTGGCCTTGTTGAGGTTTTGTAAATATTCAATTGGTGCAGGTCTGTGGCTCCGAGCCCTGATTGGCTGTCGCGAACACTCACTCACCTCCAGTCACGACTAGGCCTGGCGTTTTTTATGCCTGGAAGGGATGCTAAAGAGTGTAATTTCCAGAGCATGATTGATCGAATACCGTTTCATGGATAATAAATCATGACAGTAATAACTACTCTCCGTTTTAAAAAGAGGCAAGACGCCCTGTCATTTATGTGCATTGGGTAAAGAAAAGGTGATAAGCAGTATTGCCTCATACCCAGAGCTCTGGACCTGGATTCAGGAGGCTTCTCCCAGCCCCAATTAAACCACCACCTGCTTGACTTGGGCAAGGTACTTAACCTTTCAGAATCTCAGTTCCCAGACCCGAAAACGGGGGTGGGGTGTTAGGTAGGTATCTCTCCAAACTGCATTGGTGTGCTAATGACTCTGATTCTGCTATTTTAAGTGATTCGTGTCATTGTGATCCAGAAAAGTGTGAAGTCAGATCACAAGTTTCAACTTCAGTTAAACGAAAAATTAGTTAACGAATCAGATGAGGTGTAGAAAGTGTTTGCCTCGGTTCCTGGAACACTGTAGGTGTTCAATAAAATGGTAGACTGTGGTGGTAGTGGTAATGATGTCTACCTAGGCCACGAGGGTATCACCTTGACTGTGCTTTACCTTCCATGTTGGTAAAATGGAGCATGGGTGGCGGCTGCTCATTATCCAGGACTGTGGTAAATGTCTGTCAAAGATGGAGTTCTCTGCCATACTATCTGAAGGCAGATAGTTGGCTAATTTTGAACTAAGCGAAATAGAAAACCCCAGATCAAAATGGCTGAATGATGTGCATCTTGTAAGGAAGCTTAGGGCTTCTGGTGCCAGACTGCCTGAGTTTTAAGTGCACCAACACTTACTTCCTGAAAGTGCCTTAACTTCTCTAAACTTCAAGCCCCTCACTTCTCAAATAAGGACATTAATAGTACTAACTGTGGAGAGTTAGAACAATATTAGCAATTAACAACTTCAGCTTTTTGTTGTCTGGAAAGCTCTGTAGTCATCCTTCTATTCTAAACAATAGCTTTTCTGGGTAATCTTGGTTGTAGGTCCTTGCTTTTCATCACTTTGAGTATTTCTTGCTAATCTTTCTTGCCTGCAAAGTTTCTATTGAGAAATCAACGGACAGTCTAACGGGAGCTCCCTCCTGGGTAACTGCTTTTTCTCTTTCTGCTTTTCAAATTCTCTCTTTGACTTTAATTATGACAGGTCCTGGTATGAGCCTCTTTGGGTTCATCTTATTTGGGATTCTCTGTGCTTCCTGAACTTGTACATCTATTTCCTTCATAAAAAATATGAAAAACAAAATGGCAATAAATACATATCTATCAACAATTAAATCTAAAAAACAACATGAACAAATAGAACAGAAACACTCACAGATAGAGAACATTTTGACAGTTGCCAGATGGAAAGGGTGTTGGGGAGATGGATGAAAAAGGTGAAGAGATTAAGAAGTACAAATCAATTGTTATAGGATAGTTATGGGATGCGAAGTACAACATAGGAAATATAGTCAATAATATTCTAATAACTATGTATGGTGTCGGATGGGTTCAAGATTTATCAAGATGATCACTTATTAAGTTATATAATGTCTAATAACTGGGGTGTACACTTGAAAGTAACTTAGTAATGTATATCATCTGTAATTGAAAATTGTTTTAATTATTTTTTAAAAAGAGCCCTGGCTGGTATAGCTCAGTGGATTGAGCATGGGCCTGTGAAGCAAAGGGTTGCTGGCTTGATTCCCAGTCAGAGCACATGCCTGGGTTGCAGGCCAGGTCCCCAGCAGGGGACACATGAGAAGCAACCACACATTGATGTTTCTCTCCCACTCTCCCCTTCCCTTCTTTCTAAAAATAAATGAATAAATAAATAAATAAATAAAAAGAAAAGTGTTAGTGATTATTACTGCCTAAGAAGCAACACAAGATATCATTAAACATGGTCACTAAGCCATATGTGTAAGGTGCAGAAATGCAGTCACTGCTGTGGATGTTTCTCATTCATTGCATTAACATTTACTGAGATCCTCCCCTGTATCAAGTCCTGTGCTGGGGATGCTGCAATGACTAATACCATAGACATAGTCTCTGTTGTCACAGAGCCTAGCTGGGAAGACAAATGATAAGCAAGTAATTGCAAAACAATGTGTGAGCAAGGAGCACGTGTTGGGGATGCTGGTAGAGGGGGGCTGACTTAGAGTCAAGGAAGTCCTTCTAAACTGAAACCAAAAAGAAGAATGTAGATTCATTAGCTTGCAAGGACAGAGTGAAGAGTACATGTAGAAAGTTCAGGAGATGAGACAGTGAACTATAGCTGAATTAGAATGGGAGAAAGAGTACAGACTTTCTTTACTTTTCCTAAAATGAGATTAGGAAGCCAGGTAGGAGCCAGCTGGTTGTGAGCTTTGTAATAATTATTAATAGTTATAAAACACTATATGCCATGTACTGTCCATTCATTCCTTAAATATTTAGTGAGTCCTACTATGTACCAGGCATTGTTCTGGAGTTTGGATACCTAATATCAGTGAATATAAGACTGAAATCCTTGCCCTAATGAGCTTATATTCTAGTGTAGGAAGGCAGAAAATAGTCAATAAACCTAATAAGTAAACTATAGACTGTGTTAGAAGGTGGTAAGTGCAATATGGAGAAAAACAAAAGGGATGTCTAGAGCATTGTAAGACTGGAAGGCAAGTTATAGTTTTTCAAAGAGTAATGAGAGTGAGTTTCACTGAGAAGAAATATTTGTGCAAAGACTTGGAGGACATGCAGTTAGCTGTAGGAATATGTGAGGGAAGGGCATTCCAGTAAAGGGAATAGGCAGAGCAAAAGCCTTAAGACCATAGTGTGCTTGGGGAGTCCCAGGAGCAATAAGGTTGATATTGTAGCTGGAGTAGAATGAACAGGGGGTAAAGTAGAAGATGAGGTTACAGGGTTCAGGGGACTGGATTACACAGGGTCTTGAAATCTATTTTAAAGATTTTGGCTTGTAGAACTTGTGAAATGGGGATCCAATTGAAGTTTTGAACAAAGGAAGGACAAGAACTGATTTATCAATCTTCTGGGTTGAGAAGAGACTGTAGATAAGCCAGGATAGAAAGAGACCAGTTAGAAGTATATGGTAGCAATCTAGGTGAGAGACCTGGGGCTTGGATCAGGGTGTGGCCAGGGAGGCGGTGAGGAGTTGGATTCTAAATACAACTGAACAGGAGCCAGCTGGATTTCCTAATGGGATGGTATATGGGGAGCTAGAACAAAAGAAAAGTGAGGGACCACTGAGCCTGATTGTTGGGAACTGCTCTGCCTGGTTTCGGAAGCTGTAATCCCCCCATGGCTAAGGCTGAGTGACAGACCTTGGGACCATAAGCAACTAAGGAGACAAAGCTTATGTTCCTGGCAGGGGTGCCACCTTTGGCTCCTTTTTCTTCACCCTGGTTGGCCCCGAGCGGATGACTGGTTAGTCAATGATGGGTAAGATTCCTCAAGGGAGAGACAACCTAAGACAGGCATGGTCTCAAAGGGGCCCTCAGGGAAAGACTTAGGGGGCTATGGAAAAAAGGGGTGATGGACCCTTGCCCCTTGGCTTTGACATAACCTGAGTCCTCATTCCATCTGCGAGAAGTCCCCTAATCTCTTGGCTGCCTTCTCCTGCCTGATTTAAGCCTGAAACAATGCTGGAGGTGGGTGCAGCCCTGTGCTGGAAAGTGTGGGTTCCCTGCGGCAACCAGACCTAAGAAAAAATGCATAAAATCCTGTGAAACCTGCTTTGCTCATACCCTCAATTTAAATGATAAGGGCCCAAGCATGAAATGAGTTTGTTTCCCCAAAGTTTTATGGCCCTTTAGCTATTTGACCCTTACTCAGAATAAGCCCTCATAGTTCTTTGAATGTTATCTATTGTTTGATCCTTACTGCCTGACAACAATTTACAAGCTTTGCTCATATTCCTGTTCAAACTGAACTCAATAAAAGCCCACTGGGGAAAAGGCTCCTGGCCCTTCTCCTTTGAGAGATTGACCACCTTTTCTCCCCAAGCAGATCATGTCTTGGTAGACTTATTAGCTCACCTGTGGCAGCTGGGGGTGGGGGAATTCTGTGCGCAGAGCCCCCCAACATCTGACCATCTGGTTCCATCAACTAAGATGAAAAGGACTATGGATGGAGCAGGTTTGAAGGAAAAAATCAGGAGTTCAGTTTTGGCTGGGTTAAGTTTCATACATTTATAGCTCTATTAGCCATCCAAGTGGAAATGTTGAGAAGGAACCTGGATATCTGTGAGTCTAGGGATCAGAAGAGGTCTGAGCTGGAGATGTAGATTTGGGACTCATCAGTATATGGATATTTAAAGCCACAAGACCAGTTGAAATGATTAAGAAAGTGAGCATGGAGAGAGAGGAGAGCATAGGGCACTCCAAATTTAAGAGTCCATAGAAGAGCCTTGACCTGTGTGGGTCAGTTAGTTGGAAGTCGTCCATCACAGCGAAGAGTCAGTGGTTTGATTTCCAGTCAGGGCACATGCCTGGGCTGAGGGTTTGTTCAGTCCCCAGTTGGGGGGTGAACCAATGGATGTTTCTCTCTTACATCAATATTCCTCCCCCCTCCCCTTCTCTCTAAAAATAAATAAATAAAATCTTTTAAAAAAGAGTTCATAGAAGAGAGGAAGATTCAGATTCATTTAATCCACCCAACTATTCTAAAACGAATTACTTACGATCCCTTTTTGTAGGTGAGAAAGC